TGGCATTTTGGGAAGGTCTGGATATTGCTCCACATGGCATTATTCAAAACATAACGTGGTTGTTACATGAAAAAAATGTGTGTGCATATATATATATATATTTTTTTTATACAGACAAACAACAAACTTTCATAAGTGTTGCTTTCTCCTAAGTGACAGTGGCTTCTTGTTTTTCTCTGGACAAACAACATTCAATTGGATACACCTACAATCTCTACTCCTTCTTAGTTCTAGTAGGAGAAATCTCTTATCAAACTACCAGCTCACAACAGACTCAAATCAGTAATCATGCAGTAGAATAACAAGATTAACCAAGCAGATTAGCCTTTTTAAAATGCATCTTAAATAAAGAAAACACACTGTTCAACAAGTACACCTTTTGAAGCTGAAATGCTGTGGTGCAGCACTAGGAAGCTCCCATGCTCTTGAAAGAGCTAAGTTAAGGAATCACCCCGAGATGGACATAGGCCTTTTATGACAATCAGGATCCAAAGGGAGTTGCTGGTTTTGTAGTTTTTTTAATTGCTATTCTGCCAGCACTCAGCATCTGTAATATCCAATGCCCTTGATATGAGGCACCCAACGAATTATCACTTTTGAGCCCTTTTTCAGCAGGATCCTTACAGGCCTCAGTGCTTCCCACCAGGCTGTGGTTGATCCACTCCACTCATCATCAGGTGCTGCAGTTTCAGCTGCCACATTTATTCCTGGAAAACTCTTTTTCCCTACTGTGGCTACTCTATCTGACAAGGATCACTTACTGTTTTCTTTTTTTTAAAGACGCTGCTGGTCATTCCTGGAAGAAAACGAAATTTACTGCTGCGTGCTTTGGGCTCATCTAATTACAATACCAGCCTTCAGGGAATTTTTAAACTAATGACATTGGATTTGTCAAGCACAAAAACTTTTAATCTGATTTTTCAAGTGGATCCTAGCCAATGGATACTGGCCACCACAGCACTTAACAAAACACATTTGACTGTTCTTCATGCAATATTTAGGTGGGCTTCTTATGGAAATGTTAATTTTTGTTACCTAATATCTTTCTCCATTGGTCAATACAAGGTATATAAGGTTATTGACAATGCTATTAAAGTTTTTATGACTAAAAGTCCACAAGTCAAATTATGTGTGTGTATATACAGCTTCACAAATGACTGGAGGCACACACTTGGAGAAATCTGAACCAAAACACTGTATGAACAACTCCCCAGTTTGTCTGCTGACCTCATAATGCAGCATCAACAAACACTAGCTCAATAGGACAGTTATTTTATTTCAACATCTTAGTCTTTATTTTCAACATTGTGCTAATAAAAGGAAAAAAAACCCCAAACTAATAATTATGTCACAATGACTCCTTAATCCCCCCAAAAAACAAAAAACTCACATGACCCATAAATCCTCCACTTTTGGGTGCTTCCTTAGTTCTAAAGGACAAATACTGCACTATTTCAGCCATTAGGTTTGGTTTGACTGTACTAACTGGGTATTTTGGTCAAATAATGATGGACTCACACTTGAATTTCAAATTCATTTCAATTATTACTGCTTTGCACACACAAGCTGCAATTGTGCAGTGTAGAAAGGTTGATAACTACACCTCAAAGAAAAGATCCTCTTCCAAAACCTTCTTTCAAACATAGTTATTGTATATTTTTTTCAAAACTGCATACTTCAGGGCAAATTTACTGAACAACTTACGAAATACAAGTATTATTGTTCACCAGGACTGGTATCAGCACACTTAATCCTCCCCAACCATACAAAAATACAGCTGTGACACAAAACTGTGCAAATGCAACAAAACACAGAATAGCTGTACAATCAAATGGCTAAATCCATACCAGATTTAGCCCCAGTCATCTGTCATTTTCTCCCCAGTACTACCAGGTATCATGAGAAAAAGGATCAGCTCTCCACAGGTAACACAGAGAGATGTGACCAGCCCATTGCTTCCAAAGCTGAATTCATAAATCCTGTCAGCAGAAGTCAGAAACCTAACACCAACATTATCAAAACATATAACAGGATTCCTAGGTGTTGGTAGGGATGACTGAAATATGTACACTTGTAACGTGAGGGACTTCATCTCCAGCTGACAGTGCAGGGCTTGCACTTCCAAGGAGAATTCACAATCTTACTGCAGTCTTTTAACACAACTACCCCAAAGTTGTATCCAAATACTCAGGAGAGAGCGTGCAACTACTGGGCTACTTTCTCCAAGCATGCAAGCAATTTTAGGGAAATACACAGATTTCAAGCACTGATGTCCACATTACTGGAAAAAGTATGAAAAAATTAAAAATCCTTACTTAAGCTCTTCTACAAGTACTACAGTCTTTTAGCATCACATCCTACTTGCCATCTTGCCCCACAACAACGTGCCCTTGTAACACACATCCACGCTACACAAAGTTTTATCACCATTTTCTATCTTATTGCCAGTGAAACATGTATTTCTCAACCTTTACATCAATATCACAGATATTCCAATTGATCTCTAACAAGCTGCCAGGGAAAAACATCACAGAAGCTCTGTATCACTGCTGATAATAAACCATGCAGTTTACTTCAATATTAATGGAAATTACATCAAACTTAGATACTAAACTCAAATAAAAAATAACAATTATTCTCATTCTCACCTTGAAAAGGGCTCTGATATGACTGGAGAAACACCTCATATACCACCAATTAGCTTCAAAGCACCAAAACAGGCTCACAAGGTTCCAAGAGTACCTCTCCTTTCCCTTTACATAAAAGGTTCAATTCAGTTCCATCTGCTGGACAATGAAATTAATACCCTTCCTACTGGTAACTTCACTCCAGCCTCTCCCCCTCTGTAAACACAACCAAAGATCAGCAAAAGATGATATGAAGACACATGCTATGACCATGCCATGCATGATGACAGCAGGATCAAACAAAATCAGGTTCAGCTACTAAGACCATGTCATACTATGACAGGCAGCATTGTTGGATACAGTCTCAAATAAGGTGTTTTGAACATGCTACTAAATTTTAAAATAGTTGTATCTCATTTTCAATGATTCAGTAACATTACCCAAACAGGTGTTTCATTAGCCAATGGAGTAAATGCAATATCCTAAGCATCCTGCTTAATTTGATTTCTTCTCAGGAAATCTGACAAAACAGTATATTGTTTTCTGGCTGGCAGCCACTGTACTATCACAGAGCTTCTTAAAGGTGTAACACTGTGAGTTCTAATTCTACCAGGTTTGAAAAAGCATTGGAAGTGTAAAACAAATAGAAATGCACATTAGATAAACTGACTCTAAAAACAAACAGCAAGGTCTTTAAGGAAGGCAGAGGGTCCTTGCAGAGCCTGGCAAATGCTTCAAGACAAACCACTTCCATAGTACTAACAAACCACAAGTCTGCACTGGCATCACCAGAAGGCTGTTTATAAAGACAGATGAACAGAAGGGAAGCTTTTCAACTTCAATTCTGTCAAGTTAAACTACTACCAAGCATAACTTTAAAAAGCAGTCTCCAGTCAGCCATGGAGCCCATGAGCTCAGGGCCCAGTTTAGGTGATGTAAGTAAGGACAGAAAGATCGACACACACATGTGGACTGGCACCTAACATCCACTGGGGTAGCTCCAGCTGGCGTGAAAGCAACGACCACATTTTTGGAAATTTGGAGCCTGAACAGCAGTGCTGACTGAAAAGCACCATTAGGCTTGTTCCTTCCATATGCTAATAATGACAATCATGCCTTATGCCTGATGCTGCAATCATACACTACCATATCTTATAAGGGAGCTTTTTCCAAAGAAGTCCAAGAACTGAGCAAAGAGCTCACCTACATATAGGAAGAAGGTTTTTAATCCAGCCATGACATAATTTCTTTCTGTACCTTAGTGCTGTGAATAACTGCTACTGAAATAATTCTAATGCTTACACTTATTTTCTTACTTTTCTAAGAAAAGTACTAAATCGTTGGGGGCAGAAGGAAAAAAAATCTAGAAAAGAAGTTTTTGAGCACAGAGGAGGCAGCCCTGGACACTGACAAAGCGAAGCAAGGTAAGGCCCCGATGGGATTTCGGGTACAGGAGTGATTCAGGGCTGAATCTCTTACAAACATTCCAATGCAACATAGTCTAGTGCAAAGACTCCTTAACACAGCATCCCAGAAAAGGGAAGAAAAAAAAAGAAAAAAAAATGTTATAAATATTCCCTCCATGCTCCTGATACATATCCAGGAACAAGATAAGCGAGAATAAATTATGTAACTATTACCATCTCCATATACCACACTCCCTTTATTTTGGCATCATACAGGCCAAAAAGGAATTTTATTTTTCTTAAATACTCTGGTTTGTAGTGATGTGCACTGAAAAGGTTAAAAGAAAAAACCCAAATGTACTAAGAAAAAATCAGATCTCCACATCAACAAACAATCCACAGAAGGGCGAGAACATGAATGTAAACCTATTTTTCCCTCACCCCACACTGTCATTGTGCTGTATTTTGTGCGTACAGGAATAGAAACACGCATTAAGCCTCACTGTTTTGAAAACAACACGCTTGAAATCTGCAGCGATCTTTCTTCCCCACCACGGACAGTGCTACACAGAATGTGGAGGACAGCCTTATACATAAATAAATAAATACACGACACGGCGAGGCGGGGGGGGAAGCGCGGAGGAAACAAGCGCGGCACACGAAGTGCCGAACGCCTTCTCCGGGCAGGAAACCGGTTATAATTAAACGGCCCGAAAGCGATTTAAACGTAGCCAGGGGGGAACCCTGCGGGTCTCCGCAGCAGCGCGGCGCCCCAGCCTCCCGCATGACGGGGCGGGCGCCGGGGATGGAGCGGGGACACCGCGGCCGGGGCCGCACCTGCCGCTCGCAGAGAGCCCCGCGCCGGCCCCACCTGGCCCGGTGCCCGCAGGATGAGCCGTCCCGGGACCCCTCCCCGGGCTCCGCCACGTCCCCCATCCCCGCGGGCGGCTCCCGCCGGCCCACTCACCTGGCCGAGCGCGCACTGCGGCTCCGCGCCCGCGGCGGCCCCGGGCGAGGGCGGCTCCCGCGCTGTGCCTGTGCCGGTGCCGCTGCGGGGCCGGGCGGCGGCCGCACTCACCCCGTCCTTGCGGCTCCCGCCGGTGCCGGTGCCGGCGGCCCCTCCGCGCCCACGGCGGGGCGAGCGCCTCCCGCGCAGGGGCGCCCGCACCGCCCTCCGCCCCCGCGCCGTCTCAGCGGCGGGCCGCGCCCCCCGCGCCTCCGCCAGCGCCCGCCCCCGCATCGCCCCCGCGGGCACGGCCCCCGCCTCGGGGGGACTGTGCGGGCGGCCGGGCAGAGCCCCAGGCCGCAGCCCCGCGGGCCTGGGCGGCGCCGGGGGCGGGCGGCGGTAACAAAGCCGCCCGCAAGGCTGGGGACGCGGCCGCCCCGCCGGCGGAGGGTGCGGGGATTCCGCCCAGGCCGCGGCTCCGCAGCCGCCCGGGCTCCGCTGAGGACGCTGCGGGGGATCCCGGCCCGCACCCAGAGCCGCAACCCCAGCGTGGGTGAGTCCGGACCGCGGGGAATGGTCCTGCGGCTGCTACATCGTAGCCGCGATTGCCGAGGCAGCGCGGCTGGAGCGGTGCTTTGAAGCGCCGGCTCCTTTTTTCAAGTCACACACGGTTATCTGCACTGACGGCTATCGGTGTCATCAGCGTGAGCAGGAGCCAGCCTCCGCCGTCTCCGCGGTGCCAATTACCCGTCTACTTCAAAGCAGTGAGGTGCCATCACACTGCATTTCCTACTTTTTCGGCAATTTTTTCTGGCGCCTTGTCCGTTCGCAGTGATTTCAAGGAATGTTTTCATAGGAAAACGTGGTTATAAAAAATAGTTAAGTTATATGAAAACTTAAAACGCTGCAATTATCAGAGGACCAGAGAAGTGAAACACTGCGGAATCACAGTCCAACCAAAACACGGCAGTGCCAATGATTTGACAGAAAAAAATGGACATATTAGGCTTCACAGAATCACAGAATCTGCTGAGGTCGAAAGGACTCACAAGGATCATCGACTGTAACTCTTAGCCCTGCATAGGACCATCCCCAAGAGTCACACCATGTACCTGAGAATATCATCCAAATGCTTCTTGAACTCTGTCAGGCTTGGTGCTGTGACCACTTCCCTGGGGAGCCTGTTCCAGTACCCAACCATATTCTTACATGATCTAGGTCCTGGTTATTATTATGAGACAACACCTCATGCTTTGTTTTCTGAGTCACATAAAGACCAAACCTTCCCACAAGAAAGGAGCACATCAGTCCTAACTACTTTGTATTCTACATCTGTTTTCTAAATTATAGATACCTACCCCTATGTGGGTAGCTCTGGGTTTCTGTAGACACTGTTTCTTCAGAATAACCAGATGGCAATTATATTAAAGTATATTAAAATACAAAGCAATTATAGATTGTTCTTAAAGCTCTGGTCTTGAAATCCTTTCTATACTGAAGCCCATGGCACTTTAGTCTTGGGCTTCAATAGAAGGAGGGGATTTGCTCTTCAGCCCTTCTGTACAATTCTAGATAAACTGCTCCAGATACGAGTGTATGCGGCTGTATTCCAAAGTAGGTCAAGCTATAAAAGTCATTAACACTCTTCCACCTACCTGAAGCTTTAAAACTTTGGTTTGTTTCTTTTCTGGGAATTGCACACAAACTGACACATTGGTACTTAGGTTAAATATGCTTAGTGTGCAAATGATCAGTGTGCAAATGATTCCTCTTATACAAATTTTCCCTGATTCCTTATGCTCAAGAGTGTATTCTGAAGTGAGATTGTAATAAATATTTGGATTTACATTAAAGGCTCAGATTTGGATGATCATATATAGGTTAGTGGTGATTTGGGCATTCTTAGACACCTCTCTTTTCAGCTGTGCCTTGACTTGGCATCATCAATATAATTCCTATTTTATTTTCTGAAACTCGATGAAAAGAGAAAAAAATATGTGCAATGCCAAGAGTTTCATAACATTTATAATTATTTGTGCTTTATTTTTGGTTATCATGACATGATAAAAAGAGAAACTGAGAGATGAAAACCATTAGCTAATGAATTATTCTCTGGATTTGCAAGCTGTAAGAGCCCTTGGACTGTGTGACACGAGTACAGACTTTCTTTAGGTTAAGACTTCTCATCTGTCAAATGAAAAAAAAATACATAAATCCAATGCATTGGATTTTCATGTTTCTCTCCCTCAAAATAGGTATTGAGAACGTTCATGTGCCCATGCTAGAAAAATCCTATTTCTAGTAAGCAAAAATGTTAATCCATATGGATACTCTTGACTTCCCCCAATGATAAATGGCAGCAATCACAGCAGTAAAATCTAAAGTATTCGTAGGAATTCAGAAACTGATGTTTGCAGTAGTTACAAACCTGTCAATGTCTATGCATGCATTTCTGATTATTCACTTTGCATGTGATGCTACATGCATAGTCCTTTATTAACAGTTCCTGTGTCTTTGGTGTGATTTAAGATTCATTTCTGTTTCCCCCAAGTCTAACTCTGCTGCACCTGAATAGAGTTGAGTGCACACTAGAAAATAAACACATATCATAGAGGAATTGCTCCTTCTGTCTCTGTGTGTGCTCACACATGAGCAGACACTACGCTAGTAAGCAAGAGGCCAACTTTTCAGAGCCATCCACTGAGGCAATGGGTACTTTGAGATGGACTTCAAACTGAGAAAGCCAGCCTGCTTCTCTGGAGCAAACAGATGCCTTTTCTCCTCTTTCCAACTCTACTGTTCTCCCCACCCTCCTCTCCCCTGCCCTGCCCCATCCATCTCATCTCTCCCTTGCCAAAATATGAATATGAAAGAAACAGAAACTCATCCATCATACCTCCTATTGGCTTTGCCTGGTTGGGTGTTCCTCCTGCCTCCTCTAACACTGTAACAGAGATGGGCAGTGCACAGCACATGGCAATACCTTTCCAGACTGACAAATATCTTTTCAAAGTTACAATGTATTTGAGGCAAAGCTATTAATGGGTGAAAGCAGGAAAAATTATATTACTCTCACCTGCGGATGAGAATCTAAAAATAGCTGAAGTAGTACTAGAATACAAAAATTTCCAAAGAAGTGTTATGTTGTTGGTTTAAAAAGCACCAATGTTTCACTGGAGGAAAAAAAAAACCAGTCATCTTCAGAAATTATTTAGTAAAAAATCTGCAAAATGCTATGAACTGTAGAAATCTATTATCATAAACATAAATTAGACATCCAAAATTTCTAATTAATGTTCTTAAAATTCTGTATATAACAAGAAGCTGTGATGTAGTGACATAAGGATGTACCCTCTATAAAAAGGATTTTCAGCTACTTTAACTTTGGACATTGACAGCTTAACAAAAGAGGACATATACTCAATATAAATCATTAGACATTAATATTAAAAACAGATATAAATTTTGCCTGGCAGTCTTAATTATTTCACACACAAATACTTAAGACACAAGTAAAGTGAAAAACAAATCATATTTTTTTTGCAAACCATAAATAAAGAAAATAAAGCAATTTTCCAGTATTTCCCACCTCCTTTCTCTTTTATTTCATTATCATTTAGAGCAAACAAAGAAGGACCTGATGAATTGTTACTGAAGGTCATAATTTAGCACCGTAGGATCAGTAACAGAGTAAGAAGAACAGTGCTCTTTGAGGGGGTAATTTCCCTATACCACAGGTAGAAGTGTTAAAAGACAAGGAACACCATCCTATATTACACGAAGATTTCTTATTTTCCCAGCAAATCAGTTCTTTGCAAAACAATGGGCCAAGCTGAATACTCAAAATGGGAGTTTCTTTGTCGTGACCATTAAAAAGCCAAACATAAAAAGCCTAAAATCACGTGAGATGGCAACATAATCTTTCATAAGACTTCTGGACAGATTACTGTGCAGCAGGTGAAAGCATTAATTGAGAGAATCACCGTAGGTGCCAAAATCCACAGGACATATTCTCTGACCTGTCCCACCTCTTCTGTGCTGCACAAAAGACTTAACGAGAGTGAAAACCATCTGCAGCTCCCCAGCTAGGGGTTTTTTTGTGATATAAAAGAGTTCCTGAGTGACTGTGGAGTTGTCCACCCCATGAGAAGCCGCACAACCCTGCAGTCTGAGAGGAGAGCACAGCGAGGGAAAGCTTTCCTGGGGTTTGCTGCTCCAGCCGCCTGCAGCTGGTCCAAGGGCCCTCGGGTGCTGTTGCCATCTGGTGCTATTGGTGCCAGGGCAGGCATTTATCCAGCCAGAGATTCAAGGGGCTTCACAGCAGCTCTCCACTCCTTTGGAACACAGAGAAGAAACCCCCCGCACCAGGCCATCTGTGCTAATTGGTTAGAGCTCAGATCTGCAGCCCCCAGTCTGGCAAAACTCCCAAGGATATCTTTGAGCACTTACCTGACCTGGCCTTCTGGTCTTGGACTTAGAGGAATATTAATATATAAAACTCACATGGCCGAGCTTTGGTTTAGAAACATTTAAACCATCAATGAGAAGTCTATTAATTGTCAATACTAAAGCAATTTCCTAACGATAAAAATTCATGAAATTATTGAAATAGTTCTCGAGTACAGACATGAAATCTGGTGCAGTTCCTAATGCTTTTAGACAGTTACTGAAATGTGCATAAACACCACTGAATTGAAGTTATTAAAAGTAATTGTGAGTTTCTGTTGGTGCTTGGACAGATTGAATTTTAGGACTGTATGCTTAGGCAAGTAATACAGGATTAGACCCATACACACTGCATCCAAAATCACGCTGAAAAGTCATTTGTAAAACACACTTTCACAGTCTTGCTATTTGACTTATAAACGTGTCAGTCTGATCTGCACAGAAAGCCTGCACTAGGCTCATGGATCATGCTCCTGTAAAATCAGGATTCTTCCATAACTGAAGAAAATGAATGCATTGTTCTTTTGAAATATTCTTGCTGAAGCAAATAAATGGAAAACAGGAGGAAACAGTCCAACATCATGAGACAAATGACATAAAGATTGTGAAGGCATCAAGGCACATTAGTAAGGCTGAAAGGAGGATCCCAAATCTGTATCAGAACCCTGGAGAATTTACAGATCTGTACTGACAGTAGTGCAGCACTCCTTGGTTTTACCCAGTGAAT